TCTCCAAAGCTACTTTGCCAACAATGTCAAGTTAAATTCATGTAACTCTCTAAAACCTAACTCTCTTTTTGCTTTGACTTTTGTCATTCTTCCCCAACTCAACCAGTGAACTTTATGTTTATTTTCCTTCTACCCCCATCAAAACTTTGTCAATTCTGAACATACTTCCTTGCACAAAATCTTTGGTAAAAAACAACAGGATATGACATAAGTAGGCAGTGCCATTATGACAGATTTGAGCAACTCAATAATTTCTCCTTCCATCCCTTTAGCCTTGCAATTACTTTTTGCCTTATAAAGTCAAAAACTTATCTCTTGGATCTTCCAATGACCAAAGGCAACCCCAGATAGTTACTTTGCAGAACCTGTTTCACTCCTTGCAACTCTTTCATCACTCCTTCTCTTTTCCTATCTTGCACATTCCCGCTGAAGAACAGTGATGATTTCTTTACATTGATCAGCTAACCAGAAGCTCATTCGTACACATTTAGTATTCTCCTTAGTTGCCCTGCCTCTTCAGCACTTGCTTTACAAAAAATCAACGAGTCATCTGCAAAAAATAAGTGAAATAGGCTAGGAGACCCTTGAGCAATCTTCATTCCTGTCAATCTTCCCTATACATTTGCTTGCTTTAACAAGGAGGAAAATCCCTCAGGACAAATTAGAAACAAATAAGAGGATAAAAGGTCCCTTTGTCTCAAACCCTACTTGGCCTAATGAAACCAGTTTTCTCACCATTAATGTTTACAGAATAGGTTATACTAGTAATACACTCCATAATCCATTATATCCACCTGGGACAGAAATCCATTTTCAATATTATTTTGGCCAAAAACACCCATTCTACTCTGTCATAAACCTTAAACATATCTAGTTTGATAGCCATATAACCATCTCTCCCAGTCCTATTATTTTTTAGAAAGTGAACCCTTTCATGAGCAATCAGAATATTATTTAAAATCTGTCTTCCAAGAACAAAGACAGATTGGGAATAACTAATGCAGTAGTTCAAAACACTCTTGAATCTGTTTGTAAGTACTTTAGAAATGATTTTATAGATAACATTGTACAAGCTAATAGGTCTAAATTCTTTGAATGTTCTAGGGGAGTCAATTTTAGGAGCAAGGCTTATCAAGGTCTCATTGATAGATTTAAGAAGACGACTAGAATGAAAGAAATTTTGCACTGTATTAACAACATTAGTTTTAACAATTTGCCAAAATTTTTGAAAGAAAAAAGGGGACATACCATTTGGCCCTGGAGACTTGTTTGGATGCATCAAAAAGACTACATGACTAATTTTTTGATATGTGACTTTCTAGTCAACTTCCTATTAATCTTAGCAAGGATAGTACGTGGGACTCGTTGTAAAATTTTTGCAAAGTCATCTAATTTTTCTGAAGTAAAAATCTGCTTAAAATAGTCTATGATTTCCTGGCAAGTTTCCTCTTCATTCTCACACCAATTCCCACTCCTTTTTTGCAACACATTAATCCTATTCATTTTCCTCTTACCAGTCATTTTAGCATGAAAATAGCTAGTATCATTATCCCCCTCCTTTAACCACTTTACCCTAACCTTCTAACTCCAATATAGTTCTTTCCTTTTATAAGCTTCAGCCAGTTTCCTCTTAAGACCAGCCAAATTAATCCTATAACCATTAGTTTTACTCTTATTGACTTCTTTAATTTTCTTTTTAACCAATTCTATCTGTTTCTTAGAGTTGCAAAAGCATCCTTTACTCCAATTAAGTAAATACACTGACTTTTTTTATTTTACATTGAACTTTATATAACCTGGACCCTGGTTGGTGTTCTCTCCAAGCTTTCCCTATTACCTCCCCTATATTTTCTTGCTGTAACCATTCTCTATCAAACATAAATCTTTTTTTCCATTTCTTTCCCATTGGCTTAGTATCCAGAACTAGTATATAGTGATCAGATCCCTCAGTTTCTACATGTATACATTTTGCCTTATCAATCTTTTCTATCCAGCCTTTAGTTCATAATATCCTATCCAACCTCTCTTTTACCTCTTCCTCATTTCCCTAGTTATTGCTCCAGGTCCAAGGAATTTCTTCAAATCCAATGTCAACCAGTTCATTATTATTTATGAAGGAGTTAAAATCTTGGAACCTTACCTCAACTCTCTATTTACCTCTCCATTTTCACCATTAGAGGTAATGTTATTGAGATCACCCATTATAGCACAGTACTTACCCCATATTATGCTTCTTCTAGTTATAATTTTCACTGCTCTCTTCTAACACCTACATCTGAACTAGCATAAGCACATATACACTACCGGTCAATCTTAACTTCGTTGTCCTCTATTAGCAATTCAATAGTAAAACTTGTAAACAAAAACTTTTTCACTTGCACCACATTTTTTCATAATACAACCAAACTCCCAGCCATACCAATTAGATCAACAACAAACACATTGTCAAATTTAATCCACTGTTTCACTTTATTCAAATAGCTTTAATTTTTTTCTTCTTTGTTTCTGACAAGAACACTAATGAAGGATAATGGAGTCTAATGACCTCCATCAGTTGAGGAACTGTCAAGGGGTTCTCCACACCTTGACAGTTCCATACCATAGCCTTCATTTAAACCTTGAAGCCTCATTTAGAGTGGGCTCTAATCCCTCGGACAGTTCCATCGAGTCACTATTTCCATTCTCAACTCTGATTTTCTTACAGTTTTCCTTCCCTACTTGCACCTCATCTCTTTCTCAATCCATAATTTCCACCTTTATTTTATCTTTTTTAGTTCTAGTAACTTCTTTGTTAGCCTCAACCAGTGGTTTTCTCCTGCTCCCGTCCAACACTAGTCTTTTCCATCTCTTACTTACCATTTGATTCCCTTTAGCCCTACCCTTTTGCTTTCCTACCTCCACTTTACCTTCATCTCCCTCATATGTTATCTCACATTTCCTCTCTTCTATTATTTCCTTAGCAATCTTATCCTTATTATTCTTACTCTGGACACCATCAATCCACATCAGATCATCTGCTCCTTCCACTGTTTTCTCAAAACTTCCTCCATCCTGCTGTTCCATTTGCATTTTTTTTCTTCTACTCCCCTTTCTCTTTCCAATGTCCCTACCTCCTGCCTTACCTAATCCTTTTTCCCCCTGTTTCCCATCTCCCTTCCCATTCTCAACCCTTTCAGTCTCGCTCTCTTCATGCGTACTCTTCACCTTTCTACTCATCAAACCAGTATTCAGAGTCAACTATTTCTCAGAAGTTTGTTTTAGTTCCTCACCTTATAGAATTTCTTTGTATAGGTTAGCAGCAACTTATGTTCATCTCTTTTTACATTCCTATTGTCCTGAGTTTGGTGTCTCTCTTCTTTAACACCCCCAGTCCCATTTCCATTTCCATTTTTCTTAGTAGGATTTCGAGGATAACTGGCTCTCAACCAATTTTCATACCGAAGTTCCCTTCCTATATTCATTCCTTTTTTACTACAGTTTCGTTCACTATGTCTAATCAATCCACAATCAAAATAGAAATTTAGACATTTTTCATATTTAAATTCAATCCACCTCTTAAACCATTACTATTGGCCATAAACCCTTTAGGTAATGGAATAGAAAGATCAATTTCAGCCAAAATTTTTAGATGTTTACTTTCTTTTCCTCTACTCTGCGGAATGATCACCTCATTTACTTTTGGAAATATGATGCCAATCTTCTTTTTTGCTTCCTTCGTGACCCAGTGTAAGGGTATATTCTGGATTTGGGCCCAAATTAATGTTTTACTCAGGGCTTCTTCATTTTTCTCCAAACCAGTTTTCCACTGCAGTAGAATTAACGGTTGACCATCATAGATTCATGGCCTCTTGCTCATCACTACCTCTATATCATTCTCCTTCTCAAAAATAAAGTGGAACAAATTATGTCCAATCTCCATTACTTTCAGATTATTCACCTGTGACCACATACTGTTTGCGAAGCTCTTAACTCCTCTAATATTTGTCTGCTTTCCCCCCCAAACTTTACCAATCAAGCTCAGTTTGCATTCCAGAACACCTTTAGCCATTTCTTTGTTGTCCAAATGAACTCCATCTCTTTCCTCCTCTGAGAATTTGAATCTTCTTAATACCTCTTCAATATTCTCCATGATCCTTCCCACAAATCTCACGCTATAGTTTCCGATATGCTTCTAGTCCCACACAGATCCGGACCTAATCCGAGTTCTTGTAATACCTCCCAACAAGTTCAATTCCAGTTACTCCTAATTCAAAACAAACAAACCAAAAACAAGATTAGAAGCAGAAATAACTAAGACTAGCAAAACACAACGAAGAAGAAAATTGTGATTAGATATGAAAGCTATCACATCTTATTCAATAGGAACTGGAAAATAGAAATAGTTATGGCTACTGTCACTAGAAAATCCAACGCTATTCCAAAGATAATGGATGAGATCGGTAAATTTCCTTGAATGAAAAGTTTTAAGATTGGCTTCTAAATTGGTAATTCAATTTTTGAAGTTTTCAAGAAAATGTGGACACCACAGAGGGGGATTTTCTCTCTCTAGGATAGAGAGAAAATTGCTCTCATAGCGAGAGACTCGTCTTCCAAATGGCACAATAACGATGAATTTTTTTGTGTCTTTACATATATGAAAGTTGTAAAAATTTTATTTTTATTTTCTTTTCACCACAACTCATTAAAGTATTAAATAAAAATTCGTTATACCATGTTTTATCAATGTTTGTAACTGTATCTTTTGTATGTATTATGAAACACTAGTTCAAATTTCAATCAATCATGAAAGTGGGCTTTTTTCCTGTACCCGTGGTGATTCATATGATTCCATCGAGCACCATAGAAACCGGGTTGGGCCCCTTAATCATCAGTTATATTACCCAAGGCGGCCTTCGAGTTTGTTAAAAAAAAGGGCAGAAAATTACCAAAAAAAAAGGGCGAAAAGTACTAGTGGGGAAAAAAAAAAAAAGGAGGAGGTGGAGCGAAAAAAAGGCATTCGAGACCGAACATTAGAATTTAGAAAGGTGGGAAAATATTAAAAAAAAAAAAGGAAAAGAGCGAGAGAGATAGAGAGGGCGCGAGACGTTGCAGAAACAACAAAGGTTGCAGGAACAACAGCGACGTTACGACGCCGCATAGATCTTCACGACCCAGTACCACCTCCGGTCGTCCCTTCAACTACAGCCGCTGTAAACCCTAATTTCACATCTTTTTTCTGCAATTATCCGACAGCATTATTTTTTTTTAAAATGCTTTTTACGTGGATATTTATTTACTCGTGTTACTTTTGTCAATTCTCTCACCTTTGACCCTTGCAGTCCGCATTTTTCCTCTCATATGTGATCTAGTTTCTCTGATGCAATTTCGCGGACAGCTCGAATTTTCTCTTCAATTGTGTGTAGTTTTGCTATTTATTCAACTAAGAGTGATTTCACCAAAATCTTTGAACATAATTCAGATGGCGATCATGGCGCAGAAGAATTCAATTTTGCAATGCGGGAATGAGCTAATTTACACGTTGATTTGTTAGTGCCTTCTGGTCTTAAATTTGCGGAAATGGAATCGTTGATCGAGCTGTGTGACTTAATTGCTGAAAAACCCGAGCAATTCGCTGACAAGTTGGTCTGGATATGCGGCCGGTGTCCTTCGGCGGAGGCTCTCCTTACCGGATCTCCTAGGGTTTCGAGATCTCAGCTCAATGCCGTCCTGGCAGTGGCTCGTTTCCTCTCCAAATGCCCAAATTACGACGATCAACGGCCTAAATCCCTCCTCCTTGCCTTCTATCGCGCAATTCCATCCTCTTTCACCCCTTCTTTCTGGCCCCAATCATTTGGCAATGACGCGATTGCCTCCTTCTTTAACGACTACTTTGCTTATATGTGTAGAGCTGCGGAGTCAGCCTCTGATTTTGCAACTGACATTGCTGGCTTCACTGGAGAAATTGTGATCTCTGCCACAGGCAATGTCTCTGGGGATTTGGGGATTTCCAGGGTTTTCTTGAACGCCTTGGCCTTGAATTTCCCGCCCATTCTTTCGTCTGATGCTAACAGGTTAGTTTCGTGTCTTCTTGAACGGCTTGAAATCATGGTTCCCAATTCACCGAGGGAGCTTATTTCTTCCGAGGCTGCTTCAAGTCAGAGTTCACCCTTGAGTTTGAACCATTTTCCATATCACTCTAATGAGAGGGCAAGTCCAGGGAATGAGGTGAGTAATGCCTCCGGATCATCTGGCAGCGTTGCTGATGATGCGTCGTCATCAAAGGGAATTGTGACCAATGGGGGCAGCGCTGGCTGGAAGAGCAATGTGGATATCTTGAACGTAAGCACAGGGCTAAATGATGGCGGTGGAGGCAAGGGAATTCTTATATCTTTTGAGCAAGAGTCCTTGGAGAACCTTGAAAAACAGGAAATTGCTTTTAAATTGATAAGGCATATATTGGATAAGGCCACGGTTGATTCCAAGCTTTTGGAACAAGTGAGACTTGTCACAAAGGAACAACTCCAATCAATGTTAGCATTTTTAAAGGTAGGATTTCTGAATTATTCATCTTTTAGTTTTTGTAACTCGTTACTAGGCCACAAATTGATTTTTAGAAGGAAAAGGGCAGTACTAGTGAAAGAAAGTTGAGCCGGTTATCTTGTCTCTTCTCTGGGCAGATAAGAAAGCGTGACTGGTCTGAACAAGGGCATTTATTGAAAGCAAGAGTCAGTACCAAGCTATCTGTTTACCAAGCAGTGGCTAAGTTACAGATTAAGATTCTTGCATCTGTTGACCTTGACGGAAAGTCATCAAAGAGGTTCTTGCATGGAACTCTTGCATTGTTGATAGAGGCTGCTGAGGCATGTTTATTTTCAGTGTGGCGGAAGTTGAGGATTTGCGAGGAGCTATTTGGCTCTTTACTCGGTGGAATTTCCCAAGCTGCTGTTGCACGTGGTGGCCAGCTGTTGCGAGTTTTGCTTATTCGTTTCAAGCCCCTAGTGCTGACTACTTGTATTCAGGTTTACCATTTATTTGAGTTGTGATGGTCTAAGTTCTAGTGCCTTGAATGCGTCACTTACTGAAATGTTGGTGCACTTTCATTTTTTCAAACAGGCTGACACTTGGGGCAGCAGCCAGGGTGCAATGTTTCAGAGTGTCTTGAAAGCAACTTGTGAAATAATTGAATATGGATGGATCAAGGAACGGCCGCCTGTGGATACTTTTATAATGGGATTAGCTACTAGCTTTCGTGAACGTAAAGATTATGAAGAAGAGGTAGGTTGATATGCAACTCATTGACATTTTGAATTGCAAACTGTTTAAGTTGCTATCATGTACATATTGGACATGAATTTGCATTCTTGAAGTTGCAAAAGCATATGCATGTTTGTCCACTAGTCAACTATCCGTTTAGTGTGTGTCTTTACATTTTTCTCTTCATGCATGAGCTATGAGATGGGAGCCTAAATTCGTCATTTTCTGATACGTGGGCTTAGTTTGGGAGTTTGGAGAGAAACGGAAAGAAGCGAACAGAAACGTAAACATAAAGTTATGAAAGAGAAGAAGGGAAGGGAAAATGATTTTGGATTGATAATACGTTAATTTTTTGTTCGTGAGCATTTGATGATTAAAGTTGGTTTTCAGAAAAATTTTACAAGGGAATTGTCAACTTTCTTTCATTTTCTCTCCATCTTTTGAGAGAAAACCTTTTGCCCATTTTATTCTTCCATTTTATCCCTGTTCTCTTTGTCTCTTTTCATTTAAAGGTTCTCAACAAAAGAAAAGCTTTCTCTTTCCCATTTCTTCCCTTCTAGGCTCTTGCCACAGCAAGGATGTTTTTTCTTCTATGCTGTCCTCATCATTGTTCCCCACCATTATTGCCTAGGTTCTTGATAACTTTTTAATTCAACTCAATAGAATTCTTCTCTGGTGCACTCAGCAGCAACTTTTGGTAAACATCGTCTTGCTCGTTTTCCTCTAAAAATCGAATGATGCGGAAGACCATTTTCTCATTTACCTTTTGATATTCCGTACTTGCCTTTTGGGATCAGTTTTATCTTTAAAGTTGAAGTCGTGGAGATCCAGAGAGTTATTGGTACAAATGCTGTTGTAGAGAACCCATTTGTTAATCATGACAGATCTGCAGATGAGGTTGGTGCATGCATAGTATCAAGAGATATTTTTGTGAAACTAGCCCTTCTGGGCTCTTAATCCATGGCAGCTCTGTGTGCTGGTTGCCCTTTAGGTGAGCACATAGGACAGTTTCATTTATAGCGTTTTTTGTTTGACCTTTTACTGGTGCATGCTGTTAAAGCATTGGCAGCTATAAGAAGTGTAACATGTGCTTGTCAGGATGATAAAAACAGTAGGAAGGGAGCTGGGTAATCTTGGCAATTCAAGGTCATGTTTTCATATTTGAAAGTGTACTCAAACTACAATTGTTGTATTCTGCTGGTAGTACTATAATCAGGAGACTGTATAGGCATTAGTCATTCTTCCTCGCCTGATTTTCACGTTGGCCTTGAAAAGTGGTTTATGGTTATAAAGGCCCAATTCATTTGCTCCTTTACCAGAGTGATATGTTTTTGATAGATTATGTGGTTTGTCCTTTAATTGTTGTAGCTTCAGCAATCGCATGATGCAAAAGATAAGCAGGCAGCTTCTGCTGGGCAACTTAACATGATTCGCTTGCTTGCGGATTTAAATGTTTCTGTTAACAAGCCTGAAGTGGTTGACTTGATATTACCACTATTTATTGAAAGTTTAGAAGAGGGAGATGCCTCGGCCCCAGGCCTACTGAGACTCCAGGTATAGGGTTTATTAGCGATCATGTCGGGTCTTTTAGATACTACATGACTAGCATTACTAGTTTGCTAGCTACTGCTAATATTGAACCTACAGCATCATCTCTCAACCTGTTTTTGTTGAGTTACTGCAGCTTCTTGATGCTGTTTCTCGCCTGGCGAGTTTAGGTTTTGAGAAATCTTATCGTGAAGCTGTTGTTCTATTGATCCGAAGCTACTTAAGTAAACTCTCTGCTGTTGGCTCTGCTGAAAGTAAAACTGTGGCACCAGAAGCCACGATAGAACGTGTTGAGGTACGCTGTTCCCTTTGGATGTGAGAACTTGTCCATGTATCTTTTTTGCTATGATATTTTGTCATCTTAAATGCTATGCTCACTGGTTCAATCACATTCTAGACTCTTCCTGCAGGATTTCTTGTGATTGCTGGTGGCCTAACTGATACCAAATTGAGGTCAGATTTTCGTCATCGTCTGCTATCTTTGTGTTCAGATGTAGGCTTAGCTGCTGAATCCAAAAGTGGAAGGTGAGACATTCTGATATTAGATCCAAAATAGTATTGTTTGATAAAATGTGTTTGGATATTGTATGATCACTAATGCTTCACATTTGCAGGAGTGGAGCAGATTTTCTCGGTCCTCTACTCCCTGCTGTGGCTGAAATATGCTCGGATTTTGATCCTACTATAGATGTGGAACCTTCACTCTTAAAATTATTTCGCAATTTGTGGTTCTATATAGCTCTTTTTGGGCTAGCTCCTCCAATACAAAAAGGTCAGGTGACGACAAAGTCAGTGTCCACTTCTCTAAATAGTGTAGGTAGCATGGGTGTAATTGCAGTCCAGGCTGTTGGTGGACCGTACATGTGGAATGCTCAGTGGGCTTCTGCAGTTCAGCGCATCTCTCAAGGGACTCCACCCCTAGTAAGTTCATATTTTCTTTATACACACACGCACACACACATCTTACCTCATTTGATTTCCATCACATCCTGTATCATATCACAAACATAGCTAGAACTCTTTGGATTTTGGCTGAGCACAGCTCAGTTATTAGTTCAATATATCTGCCTGTTGCTTATTGTTGTTTTGTCAAAATTTTTGGATGTATGAACATTTGAGGATGTTTGTTGTGTTAAATGCGTGCAATTTCTTGTCAGTGTAAAGGTGTCTTCTATTTGTGCCATTATGTAACCTTTAAGCCAGGGCTGTTTACCGGGAATTTCTTTTTTTACTGGGTTGGCATGATGTCGGTTCAGACTACCTAGTGAACACGTTTACATCCATTTTGCTTAAGCTTTAAGCATGATGGTCTTGATATCATATTAGATGGTTCTTCATTTGTGTTTATTGTTTATAAGACCCGTGCAGCTATAATTCAATTCATCAAGTGTAGGGCAATGCCCTCCTACAAATTATTCTTGAAGTATATTCTAGGGGCTCTTTTGGTATTCAGAATATAGGGTTTTAGGCTTGATCTGATCATTAAAATGAGGCTCTTTGCATTCAAAAGAAACAGCTGGATTGGAGAAAGGAGGTGATAGAAGAACAGAGCATGAGTGGATAATGCAATTAAACAAATGGAGGGTGCCTTATGTCATTATTCACCACTGTTCTTGAGTTAAGATACGTCTTCTGAAAGTCATAGTTTTTCTAAGATTTAATAGAATATAGTTAATAGACCACTAATTGTCTCTTGTAGAAACATCTAGGATGTCAACTACATGTTATGTTACTCTTGAACTTGACAATGGAACTGATTTACTCTGGTTTATTTTCAACAATAAAATATTTCAACACAAAATCATGCTTAAAGTTAGTTTCAAATTTTAGCTTATAAATAAAAAGTTACTGCATTAAGAGGTGATTCTTAAGATCTTTCAGTATATTATTTTGAGTAGCTCTTGAAAGACCCTTCTTTTACACTTTTTGGGTTGATCTTTCATCTTTCGTCATTTTCAATGTTTTATGTTTGAAAAAGGGTCAACGATTTTTTTTCCTATCCAGGTTGTTAGCTCTGTAAAATGGCTTGAAGATGAGTTGGAACTTAATGCTCTTCATAACCCGGGTAGCCGGCGAGGTAGTGGCAATGAAAAAGCTGCTGTAAGCCAAAGATCTGCTCTTTCAGCTGCTTTAGGCAGGCGCGTGGAGGTTTCGGGAATGGGCACAATCTCAGGTTTGATGAAATTCAGTGGTACTATTAGCATCACTATCCCATGTTATTTGCCAATCAGTATTGAGAAAAGTTAATGGCATTATATCCTCTTTTGTATGCTCTTCTGATTCTTTCTGCTCTGAGTTCTACAGGTGTCAAGGCAACTTATCTTTTAGCTGTAGCGTTTCTAGAGATAATCAGATTCAGTAGTAATGGTGGCATGCTCAATGGTAGCCCTAATTCAACGGCTTCTCGAAGTGCCTTCAGCTGTGTCTTTGAGTATTTGAAAAGTCCAAATCTCATGCCAGCTGTCTCTCAGTGCTTGACAGCAATTGTTCACCGGGCCTTTGAAACAGCAATACTTTGGCTGGTATGCTCTCTTTCACCACCTATATGGGTCTTGTCCACCATTTATTTCTTTGTATATATTAGTTTGTTCAATTTTTTAATATTCAAACTAATATATTTATAAATGAAGCTATATATGAGTTTGCATTCATTTAGTGTGGTAGTAATTCTCGTATCTTAATTTTTTTGATAGTTTATAAGTTTGGTAAGTTGTATTAACTTTTTCTGGTGAAATATGGTTTGCTCAAACAAGTCTATGTTCAGGGTTGAGAGATTGGTAGTTCTGGACCATTATGGGAAGATAAGAGCAAGGGAAGAGGAAGCAAGTTTTAGCAAGGGGCTTGTGTATTTTGTTATTTCCTGTTTTGTTGAGTATTCAAAGGGGTCGACAATCCTCTCGGAATTTTTTTTCCCATTTTTTCTATGCCATTGTGTACTTATGCAGCTATATCTATCTTAGTATGAAGGTTTTACCTTTTCAGCACTTCTGTCTAAGTTTTTACTGGAATTTTAAAAATAAAACTTGGGAACTTGGTCTCTGCCACCTGCACCTATCCCTGCCCACCCCAACGGATATATCCTAAAAAGAAAGAAAGTTGGAAGAAACTTTTCTGCATTTACATGACAGACTGAACGTCAGAAATATCTGTTCCTTGCTTCTGGATGCAGGATGAACGGGCTTCTGAGACTGGTCATGATGCTGAGAGTAGAGAATCTGCCCTTTCCATCCATGCATGTTTTCTTATAAAAAATTTGTCTCAGAGGGACGAGCATATTCGTGATATTTCAGTAACTTTATTGAATCAACTCAGAGATAAGTTTCCGCAGGTTAAAGTTTTTGGTGATATAGATTGAATAAAATGTTCAGCATTGCATGATTTTTTCTTCAGATTCTGAGATTACTTGAACCTTTGGTACTTGTTACAGATTTTGTGGAATTCTTCTTGTTTGGATTCCCTACTTTTTTCTATCCACAATGATCTGCCATCAGCTGCCGTTCACGACCCTGCTTGGGTTGCTACTGTCCGTTCTTTATACCAGAAAATTGTTCGCGAGTGGATAGTTATTTCACTCTCATATGCGCCATGCACGAGTCAGGGCCTTCTTCAGGTTTCTTTTATTATGAACTTTGATCTTATCATTTATCACTTCACATGTTTGCCTTTCGATTGTTAAAATAGTTCAGCACTATAGTTTCTCTGGGTAGTGGCATGCATCATTGCAGTTATATTATGTCCCTATATTGAACTCGGCTATCTTCTTAATGTCAGGAATATGGTTTTCTTTTTTATCACAATTCTGTAGTTGATATAACTGATTTTAGCTGGTTTCCCCCTGACAAAAGAAACAAGTGCATCCTTAGAAGCACCAATACTTTTGTTCCTTTCAGCTTAGTGGAATAAAATATTAAGAATGTGATTTATCACCTCCATACTCAATGTTAACAACTTTGTCAAACTTGTGGGTCGCTTCTGATTATACAGCACCATTATCGCTTTGGGAAAAAAAGTTGCATATCTGTCCTTCAACTTATTAACAAATTGTTTTCCCCATCTTAGTTCTATTGCTGCTTACGCTGATGCACATGGTTGTGTAGTCCTTGAAGTTGTTTGTCAAAAGTAGTCATATGGTATTGCATCAGAACACAGGCTACTTCTCTAGTTAATTTCTTGTGACCTTTGGTATAATAACATGAATCGATATTGTTAGTTATTGAAGTAAGGAAATATCAAGCATTTACCAATCATAAGGCCAAGTAATCTCCAATTTGAGATTGACTAAGATTGAAAAATGCTTGAATTTGATTAACAGCACAGCAAAATAAATTACCCTTTTTCCTGGATAAACTTTAAATTCTACTTTTTAGAATGTTCTGACTGGGAATCATCTAATATTGTTTATAAGGAAAGCTATCCCTTGGTCAAGGTCACAATCATCACCACGTAAAGAAAGCCAAACCCAGCATCACAAATGTGGCCTATTGCGTAAAATGACTGAAGCAGATTAAGAAGTAGCTATAGTCCCAGAACAGATTCAGTGATGACACCTATAAAGAGAAAATAGCCCAAACTAATGACATGAGACAAGTGGAAGATCCAGGAGCTTATCTCGTAGTCCATTATATAGGTAAAACAAGCTCTTGCACAGAAGTCATTTTGAGGAGAAAAAGTGATTCCAAAAAGTTAATCGAGTGAAGGCGAGTGTTCCACCATGTTTAGCTCTTATAAATATGGTAGTGGCGTCCAATGGTTCAAATGGTTAGCAAGTTCTTACTTTGTGCATTTAAACCATGAACACAAAGAGGCATAAGCCCAGAAAAAAAAAAAAAACCAAGATCTGGAGACATATTTGAATGGAAATTTTCCAATAGAAGAAAATTTGGAAAATTTCCATCCATGTTACAACTCAACCCAACTAAATGCCCCTAAGAAGCACTTGAAAATAAAACCAACAATAGGGATTTGGGAAAAAAGGAAGAGTAAAGTTCTATCCTGTGTTTCATTTCCATAATTCAAAATCCTGTGAACAATGAAAAAGGCAGACAAAAATGATTTTTTAGACCAATAATGACATCAAAAACCAATCTTCCAGCACTCATTAGTTGAAATCTAACGCACTAACAAGTAGAAAATATAAAAAATAAATAACAAAGAATGCATGATAAAAGAAAAAGAGAAGAGAAGAGAAATTCTGACACTGATTGAATCTGATGAAGCACCATAATCACATTCAAAAGATCCAAGTGTAGAATCTTAGGTGAGAAAGCAAACTTAAGCTTAGAATGGCTGCCAGATAAGAAATTCCGGACTGAAACCATGGTTGACATGTTGACGAAAACAAAAAAGGAACCCAGATGATAAAATTGAAGAGTGTCCGAATAAGCAGCGGTACAGAACAGGGGAGGACGTCAGAGTAAGGTCAGTCACCACAAGAAAAAGAGGGAAAAATCAGGGAGAGTGTAAAAATAAGTGCATACTGCACGGTGGGGGACGATAAGGGCAAGATATACGTGGGGTTGGGCCCCTTGGCCTTTACCTGCAGCTGTCATTGCGATTGCATGCCTTACTGATGATTCCTGTACTTCCCATTCCCATACTCACAAGTAACAAGTTCTCGTACATACAGTCACACACACCAACAAACACGCAGCTCTCGGACATCCCCATCCCCCCACGGTCCCCATTCCATACCTCTTGGAATTTATTTTATAGAACATTATCATCTTTTTCTTTTTTTTTTCCTGAATTTAGAGGCAACCATAGAACCCTTATGCGAACCAGTAACTTTCTTTTCGTAGATGTTTTGGCCTGGGCCTCGAGTACGTGTTTCTGTGGTGACCGTGGAAAATCATGTGCTTGATTAGGAAGCCTGGCACGCGTTCATTTTTCGCCTTCGTTGCGGAAATTTGATTCGTTTAATTGCAGAGGCAGAGGTAGAGGTAGTACTAGCACTCTTTCTTTCTGAGTACAATTTGCGTCATGAGGAGCCTCAGTTCTCACCCAAGACGCGTTTTTCACGAGACTCGAAAGTACCAGAATTTAAATCAACCTAGAAAAGATGGCCCATGTTGATCGTGTTATGCGTGGGCACGACAATTTGGATTACTATTTTTAAAAAAACTTTATAAAAAAAATATAGTTTAATATGCAAGTTAAAAGAATGATTAAAAAATATAAAAATTTCTAGCTTTTTGACATTTAACATTTTTTTTTAAATGAAGGCCCGTCATTAAATTGTACCAATGACATTTTGGTGACAGACAGCTAGGCTATGCTACGGTGTAGTATCATAAACAATGGAAAATTGGGAAAGCGTCACTTGTACGCTCCCCCGCTCGCTGTGTCGTCTGGTGTAAAGGAACTTTGTTTATATAATTCGCATAAGGTGTCGAGTCGAATAACTCGCGCATTTGGGCAAAACTCAAGTAAAAAACTTTTAACATTCTCTGCACCTGCTATTTCACATTAGTTTGATCCACGACTATCAGTAGTTTTTTGGGGATTAAGTTTATCTGCAAAAAGTCTGAGGTTGTGTTTGGATTATATTTTTCATGATTTTTCATGAAAAAATTACTGTAACGATTTGATGTATGTAAGGGAAAAAGGTAATAGGGAAATGTGATCACGGAAAACGACGTAATTTTCCGACGAAAAATCGCAATCCAAGCAAGGCCTGAGTTTCTCAGAATTGAAAAAGATTATCAGTAGTTCTCTTTCCTTCTTTTTGATTCTCCGATTAAGATCCCTTCTGGTAGTGGAAAACTCCGATGGAAACTGAAGTTGAACGAAAATAAATGCATCGCTTCACCTTTGTAGACCCGAGATTTACAGGCTGCTTTTACTTTAAGGGAAGAGTCCAACTTCCATCCCACCACCCCCCCCCCAAAAACACCATTACGAGTTTCCTAGGCCATCGGGAGAGAGGTCCTGTGCCCATCAGTTCTGGTTCTTTGCAAGTCTCCTGCAAACACTAAAAGTTCTAAGCTTTTTCCAATTGGATAGGAAGAGCTATTATATTAAGATGGACTACCAAGGTTTTTCCTTGTTAACAAGCACTGAAGGTAGATGCATCCTACCGGTCTGCGTTACAAAGTTACAAGGAAAGCAGAAAATTCCCCATGAAACACATGGAAGCAAGTGTACTTCCAGTTGAATACAGGATATTGATGAGTAAAAAAAAATGATGATGGTTTCAAAGGTGTTCCTGTGGGAAATTTCATGAAACTTGTGACAGCCCCACCTCCCCCTAAGGCGAACCAAAGGGTTCAGCGAACCGCCTGCCCAACTTTCGCCGGAACTCAATCGTTCACTTCAGTTCTTAAATAAATTCCAATATAAATCTCAAATATACATCAAATGTTCCACAAATTCATTTGCACTACAAACTAGAACCTCAAGAGATACAAGAAATACTAATTACCCGAATAAAACAAAGGTCATCAATTCTCACATAAGTACAAGTACAATTGCAGTTTCAACTATTACACAAGTTAAAACTAGAACTCCAACTGTATAGTAGATCATCCAACCATTTTCTCTAGCCACCTTTCGACTACATCTGGATCGGGTCCTCCAATAAACTTTGGTGGGACAAACTTCTGGAATCTCTCGAGGGCCCAGTCCTCGCTTTCCACGTGGTTACCAGGGTTCCCAGGGTTGGGGTTAGGGTTGTGACCCTGTTGGTGCACCACTTGAGCTAGCAAATCAGTCATTTGCTGCATAGCAGCAGCTATTTGGACGTTAGGATCAACCCTAGGTTCAGGATTAGGTCCAGGCGAAGTTTCCCCAGTGCCCCTTTCAGAAGTGGGTTGCCTAATTCCACGCCCGCGGCCTCGTACACTACAAGTGCCCTTCATTGATCTAAGTCAATCTAAGGTCGAGGTGCAAAGATAATATTAAAGATAATTATAGGCATAAGCAAATAACAAGAGGTACTCACAGATCAAAAGCATATATATACACACAACTGTACCGAACCAGTCACACAGTAGCAGTCAATTAGATACAAATATGAGAGATCCATGAAAGTAACGGGGTCATCCAAAAGTACTATAGACAGACTAGGTCACGAGTACAAAAAAAACTAACGAAAAGCTTTTCCCCCTCTAGGGTTCCGTCCATAATTTACGAGAACAACACCATTTATATCTTAATGAAAGTTGATCACGCTTAACCACACTCGAACAAACCACACGAAATTTCATAGAATTGCGTTTCTAGTTCGTCTAAGTCCTTTCTAACCTAAACTCTCATCTCTTTCGTATTCGGGCGCAAGAATCCCATCTAAGATAATTCACAACTCGAGCAGGCCGGTCCCAAGTGTAAATCATCCATATTAAAGATTCTTACCTGACATACATACCTAACTTCCCCAAGTCCTATGATAAAGATCTTTACACTTATGACATGCACAGTTCATAACTTATGTTCAAAAGAGCACTTATACCTTTCGACGCATTCACGAAAGTAGGACCATAACACCACTTGGCCCAATCTCACTCCGCGCAGAGGCCACGCGAAGTGGCTCTGATACCACCTGTGACAGCCCCACCTCACTCTAAGGCAAATCAAAGGGTTCGGCGGACCGCCTGCCCAACTCTTGCCAGGACCACGGACTCGATTCACACAAATCCAGCATAGTACGCGAGATAGGACCCAAAGAAAATGAACAATCGGAAACTACTAAGGTGAGAACATGCCTACCAAACCATAAAATCACAGTCTCAACGGAATACATTTAATCGACAAGGTTAAACACTTATACATATATTTACATTGAAGTCTTGAACAAATTAACATAAAGTGTGATCCGAGGTACTCATACTAAACAAAATACAATTAGGGCTTCGTTTTTACCCAATCGTGTAGCCCTAAAATTTTGGGCAGCATGCTCTCTGTATTTACCCATTTTTCCAGCCACTTATGACTTCATTATTTTCCACAATCAATCCCAAAGTCATACGCAATATAAATTCATCACAACAGCCGTTCAATAGGCTCAAAGTCATTCGAGTACAAAATTTAGCTAGGAAAATGACCGGAAATGAAAGTTAAACCCTAAAACCCAAAAACAGTTTTGATATCGTTTAGTGTATTGGATCCAACCGGCGCTACGACTATCGGATGGATGTGTAATATACACCGTTTCGAAACTAAAAGAAAGGGTTACAATGTTGAAGAAGGCCACTCAGTCCAGTTTACAATGTATCTAGGTCAAATTTACCAAAACAATCCCAGATTTTTCAATTCGAAGTTTACTGTGGCAGTCCTGATTCGTTCGATTATATCTCAGCACATACGACTCCAATTCAAGTGATTCCAAAGCCATCTGAAAGCTAAGATACAAATATATAATTCTTAAGAAAACATCGACAACCAAATCAGTAGTATTTCCGGTCAAACTAACCAATTACAGAAGCTAATTATCAGTTTCGGACAGAAACATAATCAGCTTCGGACAGAAACAGGGCAGCAGGGGTATTTCAGTCTTTTCACGTGCTACGTTACTCCGATTGGGTTGAAATTTTACAGGCAACTATAAAATATCATTCTCTACAACTTTCATGTTTTAACCCAAGGCTAATTCGGCCTCTAACTAGGAGAAACAATACCGGGCAGAATGGGGTTAATTGAAACCCTAATTCCGAAATTTCCTTTCAAAGCGGAAATTTTCCGCAAATAGCCACAATTTACGCACTCTAGTTTCATTCTAAACCATTCCCAACCATCATCCATGGCCACACGATATTAAACATATAAAAACAGAAAAATCATGAATAAATAGAAAAATTCACCAATCTCAACCAAAATAATGAAATAGCCTACAAAATCACCTCTTAGACTACCACAAGCCACTAATTAAACATCATTAGATAGAAAAGAGAGGTTGCTTAGCTACTCACCTTATCAACCAAATAAAGGAGACAACTTAGCACCTTAGTCTTCCAAATCACTTCACTAATCACCTCACAATTACTAAACTAAGGGTTTTTATGGAGAAAATTCAAGATTAATCGGTTGGTTTGTTGGATTGAGCAAGATTGGAGCAAGAAAGAACCAGAACTGATGGGCACAGGACCTCTCTCCCGATGGCCTAAGAAACTCGTAATGGTGTTTTTTGGGGGGTGGTGGGATGGAAGTTGGACTCTTCCCTTGAAGTAAAAGCAGCCTGTAAATCTCGGGTCTACAAAGGTGAAGCGATGCATTTATTCTCGTTCAACTTCAGTTTCCATCGGAGTTTTCCACTACCAGAAGGGACCTTAATCGGAGAATCAAAAAGAAGGAAAGAGAACTACTGATAGTCTTTCTCAATTCTGAGAAACTCAGGCCTTGCTTGGATTGCGATTTTTCGTCGGAAAATTACGTCGTTTTCCGTGATTACATTTCCCTATTACCTTTTTCCCTCACATACATCAAATCGCTACAGTAATTTTTTCATGAAAAATATAATCCAAACACAATCTCAGACTTTTTGCAGATAAACTTAATCCCCAAAGAACTACTGATAGTCGTGGATCAAACTAATGTGAAATAGCAGGTGCAGAGAATGTTAAAAGTTTTTTACTTGAGTTTTGCCCAAATGCGCGAGTTATTCGACTCGACACCTTATGCGAGTTATGTCAACAAAGTTCCTTTACACCAGATGACACAGCGAGCGGGGGAGCGTACAAGTGACGCTTTCCCAATTTTTCATTGTTTATGATACTACACCGTAGCATAGCCTAGCTGTCTGTCACCAAAATGTCATAGGTACAATTTAATGACGGGCCTTCATTTAAAAAAAAATGTTAAATGTCAAAAAGCTAGAAATTTTTATATTTTTTAATCATTCTTTTAACTTGCATATTAAACTATATTTTTTTTATAAAGTTTTTTTAAAAATAGTAATTCAAATTGTCGTGCCCACGCATAACACGATGATCAACATGGGCCATCTTTTCTAGGTTGATTTAAATTCTGGTACTTTCGAGTCTCGTGAAAAACGCGTCTTGGGTGAGAACTGAGGCTCCTCGTGACGCAAATTGTACTCAAAAAGAAAGAGTGCTAGTACTACCTCTACCTCTGCCTCTGCAATTAAACGAATCAAATTTCCGCAACGAAGGCGAAAAATGAACGCGTGCCAGGCTTCCTAATCAAGCACATGATTTTTTACGGTCACCACAGAAACACGTACTCGAGATCCAGGCCAAAACATCTACGAAAAGAAAGTTACTAGTTCGCATAGGGGTTCTATGGTTGCCTCTAAATTCAGGAAAAAAAAAAAGAAAAAGATGATAATGTTCTATAAAATAAATTCCAAGAGGTATGGAATGGGGACCGTGGGGGGATGGGGATGTCCGAGAACTGCGTGTTTGTTGGTGTGTGTGACTGTATGTACGAGAACTTGTTACTTGTGGGTATGGGAATGAGAAATATAGGAATCATCAGTAAGGCATGCAATCGCAATGACAGCTGCAGGTAAAGGCCAAGGGGCCCAACCCCACGTATATCTTGCCCTTATCGTCCCCCACCTTGCAGTTTGCACTTATTTTTACGCTCTCCCTGATTTTTCCCTCTTTTTCTTGTGGTGACTGACCTTACTCTGACGTCCTCCCCTGTTCTGTACCGCTGCTTATTCGGACAGACTCTTCAATTTTATCATCTGGATTCCTTTTTTGTTTTCGTCAACATGTCGACCATGGTTTCAGTCCGGAATTTCTTATCTGGCAGCCATTCTAAGCTTAAGTTTGCTTTCTCACCTAAGATTCTACACTTGGATCTTTTGAATGTGATTATGGTGCTTCATCAGATTCAATCAGTGTCAGAATTTCTCTTCTCTTCTCTTTTTTCTTTTATCATGCATTCTTTGTTATTTATTTTTTATATTTTCTACTTGTTAGTGCGTTAGATTTCAACTAATGAGTGCTGGAAGATTGGTTTTTTATGTCATTATTGGTCTAAAAAATCATTTTTGTCTGCCTTTTTCATTGTTCACAGGATTTTGAATTATGGAAATGAAACACAGGAGCTTCTTAAATGGGCTTCCCGGGTGAGTGATTGAGGTTCAAGAATTTTACTCTTCCTTTTTTCCCAAATTCCTATTGTTGGTTTTATTTTCAAGTGCTTCTTAGGGGCATTTAGTTGGGTTGAGTTGTAACATGGATAAAAATTTTCTTCTATTGGAAAATTTCCATTCAAATATGTCTCCAGATCTTGGTTTTTTTTTTTTCTGGGCTTATGCCTCTTTGTGTTCATGGTTTAAATGCACAAAGTAAGAACTTGCTAACCATTTGAACCATTGGACGCCACTACCATATTTATAAGAGCTAAACATGGTGGAACACTCGCCTTCACTCGATTAACTTTTTGGAATCACTTTTTCTCCTCAAAATGACTTCTGTGCAAGAGCTTGTTTTACCTATATAATGGACTACGAGATAAGCTCCTGGATCTTCCACTTGTCTCATGTCATTAGTTTGGGCTATTTTCTCTTTATAGGTGTCATCACTGAATCTGTTCTGGGACTATAGCTACTTCTTAATCTGCTTCAGTCATTTTACGCAATAGGCCACATTTGTGATGCTGGGTTTGGCTTTCTTTACGTGGTGATGATTGTGACCTTGACCAAGGGATAGCTTTCCTTATAAACAATATTAGATGATTCCCAGTCAGAACATTCTAAAAAGTAGAATTTAAAGTTTATCCAGGAAAAAGGGTAATTTATTTTGCCGTGCTGTTAATCAAATTCAAGCATTTTTCAATCTTAGTCAATCTCAAATTGGAGATTACTTGGCCTTATGATTGGTAAATGCTTGATATTTCCTTACTTCAATAACTAACAATATCGATTCATGTTGTTGTTTGGGCTGATTGGTGTACGATACTTATTCCGTGTCCTCGGATGATCATTATTCTGTGGATATTCATTTGACTTTACTATTTATGTTTAGAGTGGAAATCTGGGTCTTCGTGCACTTTGGCTCATTCTGCATTTTGCCGTCACCATATGGTACTTTCTGCTGGGAGTAGTGCAGTCTTTTGAGAGCTTTCTCATTGCTAGTGATATATTGACGAAATATGAAGCCCTTGATATCAGCAAGGTTCGTTATTTGGCAATGGTAATAGACAGTGAAGAAGCTCAAGAACTTTCAAAAGTTTTGGAGTTATTGCAGTGGGTTGCAGATATTGGTGTGAAAAGTGTCTGCCTTTATGATCCAGAAGGTAAAAGGGATATCCAGAAAGTGAAAATGCTTTAGAATTTACTCAACATTTCCTTTGGTAAGTTTCACCTGACAGGTGTGATAGCATTTTCCTGTTGCAGGTGTGTTGAAAAAGAACAAGGAACCTATCATGCAAAGATTCAGCAGTGCAAACTTGTCTGAGGTATCATGATCTTCATCCACAATTAGCTAGATCCTTTTCTACAAGTATTCATGACAGTATATGTCATATGTCAACCTTGTCAGTTCAATATTCCGTTGTGATGCATATTTTAATGAAGTAATCAATTTTACATATCTATTTTGTGTAAAAGACATTAGGGGCGGTTTGTATGCATGACTTAATATCTTATGTTTGGAATCTGCTGGTTCAGTGTGTTATTATGGTGAAAATGTAAATGAAGTTTTGATTTGCCGAGTTGTTGAGCCCAAGAGATGTGTCAAAGCCCTTTCTCCTGCTTATTGCCTGAGTGGTAATATTTTTTCAAGATACATGGTCTCTGTAGCCAGTCCAATTATTTGGATTGAAGAGTGAAATATTAACTTTGTAATGGTGGACTGAAGGATAATAAAGGTGTTAGGAAACATGAAAGGAAGCAACAGGATATGATTATTTAAATGGAATAGCTAAGTAACCCCTTTCCAAGTATGGCTTTAGTGGGGGAAAAAGTGTTGATATAGCCAATGTCATAGGTTTGATGCAAAGCTCTAGTTGAATTTTGATAAACTTGAAAGAAAGATGGTGCATAATAGACTTGGATTGTGATTTCTTGCAGGAGGCTGCTGTTAATGGTCGGCTTGTTACCCGCAGAAATCTGACTTTGGAGTTTGTTTCATTTGAGGATGGAAAAGAAGCAGTTGCCAAAGCAGCTAATTATCTCTTTGTAAAGCACTATGCAAATGGTACTAAGGAAAAGTCAGATTTTACAGAGCCTCAAATGGCTGAAGCTTTAGGAGCCATTGGTATCCTGTCTTGCCTCTTTTTGGCTTCCCAGATTTTCCGAACATTTAGCAGATATTTTTCTAGCATTGTCTGTGCAAGTTTATATTATTCTTGTTAGTATTGTCTTAACAGGTTCTGGAGGAGCTGATCCTGATCTGCTACTAATTTATGGACCCACAAGATGCCATCTTGGGTTTCCAGCATGGAGACTTCGGTACACTGAAATAGTGTAAGTAAATTAGTAAAGTGCTACGATGTTATTTTTATAGGAGTAAATTCCTCATTGCTGCTGTTTTTGTCAATTCTTAAGGTGCCAAGAACTTTTCTCGGATATGCTTCAGTGGATTACTTTGTAATAGTCCCACCACAGTTGCATCTGTTTCTGCTTGAAATTGTGTAAATAGACTATTGTGCTATTCTGGCCCGGTCACTGTGGTTTTAGTTCATTGCTTTGCCTGCTTTTTGAAATATCTTAGGCATTGGTATCATTGAAATTCGGATTTCAGGTAGAATCCCTATAATAATTGATCTATCCTGCTTCTTCCCCCTCCCGAGAGAGAGAGAGAGAGAGTGCGCGCTATTTTTTCCTGATACTGGCACAAAACGTTTTAATGCGACTTTTGTAAATCGCGTTTGTTTTGCTATAAATATTGACTATTTGAGTGTGTCAAATGCCAATTTCAGTTCTTGCATCAGAATGGTTCGCTTGAATTATTTCTTGTTTGCTGTATGTTGCAGACATATGGGGCCATTGAAGTCTATGAGTTATGGTTCCCTTGTTAAAGCCATTTTCAAGTACACTATGGTGCATCAAAATTATGGTAAGGTTCTTTCTCTTGATCTCCCAAATGACCTTCCATCATAACGCATGCAAAAAAATAAACAAAAACAAGAGTCCTAAGTAGGATAAAATAGAAGACTTTTAAATACAGAAGGAAGTAATTAATTCCGTTAATCTATTCTCAGAAACAACTGATGCTCTGGTCGCTGTGCCTTCATGTGGTCAAAAGTTTGAAACAAGTTTCCATCCCCCTCCTTTTGGGATCAAGGAAAACTATCATGTTATTCATCTCCATTTCCATCTTTTTACCTTATTTGGCGAGTTTAATCTAATGAAAAATGGTGAGTTGTTGCTCTTCATTGATAGGTGGAGGCTGTGGTTGGTTTTATCATGTCGAGCAATGTGCGGTCTAAGTTAATAATTTCTGTATTCCAATAAACGACTTTGGGATCTGCACTTCTTGGTGTCTTAAACCTCATTTTTTATTAGCTTTCTTTTTTCTTTTTATGTCAAAACTTGAAAGAATGCTTTTTTATTGGTTTGTGGGCATATTTTGAATAATAAACATGGGAAACGCAAGTGAGCCTCGGTATAACCTGAATTTATTGTTTGGTCCGAGTAAGAGGGGAAGAGAGAAAAGGGAGGGTTTGGGAGTAGAATTCGAGATATCTTATGATTAGGTGGCGTCTCGGGGACACGATATAACCTGAATTTCATTGTGCTTGATTTCAATTCTTCCCAGGTTCATAAGCAATTTCATCCGCAGTGACGTCATCTTGTGGGACGAGCAAAGTTCGGAAGATGGACCTGACAGACGCTGCTAGTATGGTTTGCATTTTATTGAGAATGTTCTTCTTTGATTGTAGGACCAAAGTTAAAAGGTATCTATTGGCTTGTATGCCCAATTGATTGACCTTTTCGTAAACTCATCCCGTTGTAAACTCATCACGTGATGGAAAATGTTTGTACTCCATTTGCTCTTTTTTTCCTCTTAGGAGTAGGGGGTTGGGAGATGTCTTGGTCCTATGGGGTTGGGACATATATAGTTGGTGGCATTAGTTGAAAGGAATAATAAGAGGAAAAAAAGGCTTCAATTGTTTATCATGCTTCTTATCTACCATCGCAATTTCTATGTGCCTGGGAAAGAACAATTGACTCTAAATGTAAGAGATGTACTTGACAGCTGCAGCATCACGAACGTAAAACCACAAATTTCTTCTGCCCGCCACCACGCACAGTGCTGAATTTGCTTAGTGCAAGAAATTAAGAGGGAATTGAATGCAAGAAACCACGTCACTTTTGACTTATGACTTAATTCTAGTACAAACACGGCAGAGCAACTTGAAGAGAAGCACCGGCCGTACCAATAAGCAAAGATGTTTCATTTTACACCTTCGCCAGGTTCTATTCTTACGCATAACACGTCCAGGTTAAATGATTCACTAAGGTTCTACTGGTATCACAACAACAGAGACTCATTCCACGACTTCCAATTACATAAGCGATACAATATGCAAAGTGTGTTGTAAAAAAGCAAGGAATTTCAATAAATTTTGCTGGGGAGAGTTTGCAATTTAATGTCTCAGTCAACAAGATGTTCCAAGAAGGTTGCAAAACAAGCATTGCCTGGCACCTGCTAAATGGCACATGTCCAATGCCATGCCGTGCTGCCACTTTGCTTGTGCAACATCAAGCCCCGCTATGCTCTGCCATTTTTACTAGCGCAAGTCACTGTTTGGAAAACATGCTATAGCTTCACGTATCACGTCTACGTTTTAGTATTCTGTTTCTAAAACCCCATCAATTAGACCAAACTCCATAGCCTGCAATTAAGATAGCCATGAAGAAATGCTACTTTTGCTAACAAATGTGGCAGCTACAGTAAAAAAAGCCGATGTTCTCAAACTAATTCCACTTAATGGACAAAGTCTTTTAATAATTTGTGTAATATAAACTAAAAGGAGAGGACAAAGCTAGCAGCATTACCTCAGAGACAGATAAGAAACGATCCCTTTCAGTGTACTGTTGCACTTTCTCAAGAGGTTGGCCAGTAAAACTAGCGTACATTCTGTCAATATTCTGCATTACATAACAATTTAAGGAGTGAAGAACTATAAGTTGACAGGTAGTAGAAGTACTAAAAGAAATTATAACAAGTCTGGGATCACAGATAAATATCATACTAACAGAAACCCAGCCTAAGCAATCAAAGTTTCATTGACATCAGAGGAGAGATGTTCTATACAAAGAAACAACAAATTGGTTGTTGGTTTCTGTTTTAACAACATGTTGGTATACCAAATTCCAGCAAAGAAGCCGGAAGAGCCAATCATAAACTGAAATAATTAGTGGAGAACATCAAAGTAAAGAAGCTGATTAGGAAAGAAAACTGACATGACGAGATTGAACTGCTTCATTCACTTGGCGCCTTACATCCTCCACATGTCCCTGCAAGAAGAAATAAAACCATTTGTGACGGACAGTTAATCAATCTTGCCAAGCATAAAAAATGGTTTCTTTATGTCAAAAGAAGCTAGCAAAACGGTGGTTTCTTTGTGTCGAAATAAAGATCTGCCAAAGATAAAATAACCTATTTATCATCATTCTGTACCATCCTGTCCTTTCCTTCTAGGAAATGAAGTTGAATAAGGGAAACCCAAGAGTAACAGAAAGTTGGTGCACACACCATTGCACTTTATAAGCTATTATTAAATTTGTTCCTCATTCTCTCTCTTTTTTAAGGTCCATCAATGATGACATTTACTCCAAAAGCAGAAAAAATTGAAATAAAGAATGGCATTGTACCCCGCATCCACTTTGCGGTTGATGTATCATAATACGTGCATTTGGCATCGCATACCGCATGCCCTTTTCTCCACCAGCAAGCAGCAGCGCACCTTGGCTTGCAGCAACTCCAAAACATACTGTACCGACCTTAGGCTTTATCAGAGACAAAACAATTGCCAAAAGAGAAGCTACGCTTGTAAAAGCAATGAGTGAAGACATTAAACCAACTGCAAATCTTCTAATTACAAACTCTTAAAAAAACATCGAAAATTCAAGCATAATATGAGCTTTACAGAGGAGAAAAGGCATGCAATATCAATCCAAGTATAAAATCACTGACAGAACTTTGAAAGAGTAGTTATGCCTACCCAGGACATGCAATCGTAGATTGCCAAGACAGAGTAGGTGCTCCCTCCTGGGCAGTTCAGATACATCTGACATGCAGAAAATGCAATACTGGTTATCAATTATTCATGTCACTCTACTAAAATTTTAACTTTATGGTTGATAGGTAATATAACATCACCAAAATATCAGTATCTTCATCAATAGTGGCCAGAGTCACGAGCTGTGATATAACTTGTTGAGCCACCTGAGAAGTAACTGGCTGACCAATAAAGATAATGCGATTCCTAAATAGGACAGTACAGAGATCCAGCGTCCCCCTGGTGTCATTACAGCCGGCATAATGGGAGGGTTCCCTTTTTTGGCTTCTATAGGACCATAACTGTAGGCGATGAAATATCATAAGAACATAGTGTCTCAAAATCAAGGAAACCATTCTCCATGTAAAAGATGAGCATGAAAAATCTAAAAGAAACTTTGGATACTGTCCATGTCAAATCTGCACCACAAACAACCAATCACTCGCTTATTGGAAATTAGTCCTACATTTCTTTTTCCTCTTTTTGTACGTGTGATTGCGGGATGGAGTAAATTTGACATTTTAAGTGGATACCACCTTGTCAGGTTAGGATTGTCATTTTTTACTAAAAGAATGTTTAAGACGCATTAGACAAGTCTTGTGCGACGAACAAATATTCGACAAAAGTTTCTAACCCGAATTGACAGGAACGTATGACATTAGCTCTACTATCTCGACCGAGTCAACGGACATCATCAGGGCACTCTTCGGTAACTATTGATCAGCAGTAGAAAACTAAACTGAGGATTTGAACAAGAGATCTTCACTTTATTCCTTGTCCCCCTTGGCCGACAATTGAGGTTCATCCATCCATTTGAACTCTAACGGGCACCTCTCGTTGTGTCTGTGTATTCCATTTCCCCTGTTCTCCCATTGTCACGCCAACAAACTAATGTACTTCGGTAAAGGTCAGGAACCACGCTAACCAATCTCAACTGGGCATCGATCCTAGGTCTATTTTCTGCTATAGAGGCTGCAGATTTTCCTCCTACACACTTCGTAGTAACAAATTTTTGTTGCATTTTTGCAGGGGGCAAAAGGGCCAAAAAAAAAAAAGGATCTTGAACCAACTTCACATAAAATCACAACGACAGATTGATCAGTGATTACTGATGCAAGGATACAAAATGCTCTGCCTGCCAAAGTCACTGGCATACTTTAACGCTCGTTGAAAACGGATCAGTGGTTGTCGATGTTGTGACTTACATTAATTCAGAGTTGAAATCGAAGGCCGCTTTGCAGTTCGCATTAACGCAAAGTCAAAAGCTAGATTTCCAAATGCTGATGCGCAATTCCAATCTTTGAAAAGCACTTTTATCTGTCATCACAAAGTCTTTTAGATAAGCATGGCAAATTGATGGAACATCAAATCAAGTCTTAGATTCAGAAGTTGCAATTTGCATCCCTTTTTCAATTGGCATAATAGTTTTTGGTCGTTAATCTCCAATTGGAAGAAATCCCAATAGGCCGTCTTGCAATAAAATTCCCATCCCCACTCGCTCCTAGACGTTTCTGCACCTCAACTCAACCGGCTTCCAATCTTTTACATTTCTCAAAACCAGGGCAGAGTTGTTTTCGGAAGTGCACGTATTACTACGCAATAAACAACACACAACATTGTTGATTATTATAATTACTAAAACGGAGAATAATGTGATCTCTGGTCTCACTAAAGTCCAGCGTCTGTGACCCGGATCGGATGTACCGACAAGGCTTCTCTTGACCTTAAGTTATTCTCCCCTTCCAAGTCAACTCGAGCCTACTGATCCATGCCTCGTCTGGCTATGCATTAAGTACAACGGACAAATGAGAATTCATCATCTGTTTTGGTGCAATCAAGTGCTGCTAAAATTCTTGGCCCCCCAAATATTTTGTAGATTTAAACACTAGTACTGTCGATCTAGATAAATAGGAAGATGACAATGGACTAAAGCTCAGCTGCAGTCCCGGATAATTTGTAGGTTGACTAAACGACATACGCTATGGGTCCCCAACGCGTTGACTCTTAATTTGTCATTGATAATTCAAATAAAAAAAAAAGTATAAGTTATCCAAAAAGAAGGAAAAAAAAATGCACTACTTAAATAGTTTGCATTGTATGACATACTAGTGACAGAAAATGATGTATGAGTCCATATATTTCTCTCAAAACTTGCACCGTTAGCTAGCTGTTAAGACTGACAGAAGCTAATTAATAACGTTGAATCGATTGGATAATATATACATTTTCTTACCAGTGTCAAAGATCGATCAGCATCATATGCTTCCATTCCCCAGCTGTAGCCCAGGGATTTGCGTTGACTCTCTGTAAATCCCAAAAAAAAATAAAAATAAATCTGTGATTAATTACGGCCGGAAGCGGAAAGGCTAACTAACTTGGGATTTAGGAGGGCATGCATCATTTGCGTTCGAGGTTTTGTGCTGTGAACAAGAAGATGCCTGCCATTGGCTAGTTAAGGCTACATTCCCCAGTCGAAAGACAGCCTGATTTCAATTTTCAAAGAGAATATGCTGCTGCCAAAGCCTGGTAACTGGTAATGAACGGTTATGTTAATCTGGGCGATGCACAGAAATCAACCAACAAATGTACGCAGGAAACAAGATACTATATTATTGTTACCTTCCTGAGGTCGAAAGAAGACTCTAGTTTACCTCACAGGCAAAAACACACAACTTTAAATCCTGTTAATGTGTCTTTCATGTATAGCCTTAACTGCTAGTATTTAATTCAAAGCAACTGTCGAGAAAAAAGAGGAGGATAAGAAGAAACTAATTACTAGAAAAGATCCTTCTCCATTGCAGCTGATTACCAGGAATTTCAAAGGAAGGGGGAAAAGAAAAGATCAGGGGATTAACCTTGGCAATTGACTGTAAGTATATTTTATTGAATCTGTACCAGTTAACATCCACGTCCTAAGGACAAGTGGCTAAGCAATTATTAAGGAGGTACGTGGTTTTGTTCTGCTTTTGATGATCTATTCAAATCGTTTAGTTTAAGAAGGGTCCAGACTCGAAGAAGCTGCCGATTTGGCGTTGACCCTGTGCAACCACGATCCTGTATTATATGTTAGAGTATATCTTTTTCCCCTTCTGGGGCGTGAAACAAGTCTATACTACTTCTTGGTATAGCAACTACTGTGCATGCATTCTCTTCTGCCAATATTACGTAATGATCATGCTACATGTGGTCATGTGTTAATTAACCTGGACCACGAAGCACCCAATCGCCCCCGCCCAACCCATTTTGCTAAAGAAAAATAGTGGTGGTATTGAACTCAAATCTTGTGGTGAAGTACTACATATACAAAAGTCAGAGGATCACAGTTTCCTTCCCCCAGATAAGTTGCAAAACAAGACTAGAAATTCAACTAGTACATTTCCTAACTAATTTGAAGACGGAAAATATGAGATCTTGCTTAGTGATCCTCCTCTTCTTCTCAGTTGTTTCGGTAAGTGATTTGCTCTCCCTTTGACCATATATGCTTCCGTACTTTCTCTTTAACAGAAAAACATTCATCTACTCAATAGTACTTCTTCCTCGATTCTGTAAGTGTGATCAGGTTTCTTGTGATTTGTTACCCTCAAGAATCTACCACTGCACTACTAAGATCTTCTTAATTGTACATGATCATCAGCTTGTGTGTATTAGCGAGGCAGCAAGACACGGACCAGAGAATTATGGAAATGAAACACAGGAGCTTCTTAAATGGGCTTCCCGGGTGAGTGATTGAGGTTCAAGAATTTTACTCTTCCTTGTTTCCCAAATCCCTATTGTTGGTTTTATTTTCAAGTTCTTCTTAGGGGCATTTAGTTGGGTTGAGTTGTAACATGGATAAAAATTTTCTTCTATTGAAAAATTTTCATTCAAATATGTCACCAGATCTTGATTTTTTTTTTTCTGAGCTTATGCCTCTTTGTGTTCATGGTTTAAATGCACAAAGTAAGAACTTGCTAACCATTTGAACCATTGGACGCCACTACCATATTTATAAGAGCTAAACATGGTGGAACACTCGCCTTCACTCGATTAACTTTTTGGAATCACTTTTTCTCCTCAAAATGACTTCTGTGCAAGAGCTTGTTTTACCTATATAATGGACTACGAGATAAGCTCCTGGATCTTCCACTTGTCTCATGTCATTTGTTTGGGCTATTTTCTCTTTATAGGTGTCATCACTGAATCTGTTCTGGGACTATAGCTACTTCTTAATCTGCTTCAATCATTTTACGCAATAGGCCACATTTGTGATGCTGGGTTTGGCTTTCTTTACGTGGTGATGATTGTGACCTTGACCAAGGGATAGCTTTCCTTATAAACAATATTAGATGATTCCCAGTCAGAACATTCTAAAAAGTAGAATTTAAAGTTTATCCAGGAAAAACGGTAATTTATTTTGCTGTGCTGTTAATCAAATTCAAGCATTTTTCAATCTTAGTCAATCTCAAATTGGAGATTACTTGGCCTTATGATTGGTAAATGCTTGATATTTCCTTACTTCAATAACTAACAATATCGATTCATGTTGTTGTTTGGGCTGATTGGTGTACGATACTTTTTCCGTGTCCTCGGATGATCATTATTCTGTGGATATTCATTTGACTTTACTATTTATGTTTAGAGTGGAAATCTGGGTCTTCGTGCACTTTGGCTCATTCTGCATTTTGCCGTCACCATATGGTATTTCAAAAGTTTTGGAGTTATTGCAGTGGGTTGCAGATATTGGTGTGAAAAGTGTCTGCCTTTATGATCCAGAAGGTAAAAGGGATATCCAGAAAGTGAAAATGCTTTAGAATTTACTCAACATTTCCTTTGGTAAGTTTCACCTGACAGGTGTGATAGCATTTTCCTGTTGCAGGTGTGTTGAAAAAGAACAAGGAACCTATCATGCAAAGATTCAGCAGTGCAAACTTGTCTGAGGTATCATGATCTTCATCCACAATTAGCTAGATCCTTTTCTACAAGTATTCATGACAGTATATGTCATATGTCAACCTTGTCAGTTCAATATTCCGTTGTGATGCATATTTTAATGAAGTAATCAATTTTACATATCTATTTTGTGTAAAAGACATTAGGGGCGGTTTGTATGCATGACTTAATATCTTATGTTTGGAATCTGCTGGTTCAGTGTGTTATTATGGTGAAAATGTAAATGAAGTTTTGATTTGCCGAGTTGTTGAGCCCAAGAGATGTGTCAAAGCCCTTTCTCCTGCTTATTGCCTGAGTGGTAATATTTTTTCAAGATACATGGTCTCTGTAGCCAGTCCAATTATTTGGATTGAAGAGTGAAATATTAACTTTGTAATGGTGGACTGAAGGATAATAAAGGTGTTAGGAAACATGAAAGGAAGCAACAGGATATGATTATTTAAATGGAATAGCTAAGTAACCCCTTTCCAAGTATGGCTTTAGTGGGGGAAAAAGTGTTGATATAGCCAATGTCATAGGTTTGATGCAAAGCTCTAGTTGAATTTTGATAAACTTGAAAGAAAGATGGTGCATAATAGACTTGGATTGTGATTTCTTGCAGGAGGCTGCTGTTAATGGTCGGCTTGTTACCCGCAGAAATCTGACTTTGGAGTTTGTTTCATTTGAGGATGGAAAAGAAGCAGTTGCCAAAGCAGCTAATTATCTCTTTGTAAAGCACTATGCAAATGGTACTAAGGAAAAGTCAGATTTTACAGAGCCTCAAATGGCTGAAGCTTTAGGAGCCATTGGTATCCTGTCTTGCCTCTTTTTGGCTTCCCAGATTTTCCGAACATTTAGCAGATATTTTTCTAGCATTGTCTGTGCAAGTTTATATTATTCTTGTTAGTATTGTCTTAACAGGTTCTGGAGGAGCTGATCCTGATCTGCTACTAATTTATGGACCCACAAGATGCCATCTTGGGTTTCCAGCATGGAGACTTCGGTACACTGAAATAGTGTAAGTAAATTAGTAAAGTGCTACGATGTTATTTTTATAGGAGTAAATTCCTCATTGCTGCTGTTTTTGTCAATTCTTAAGGTGCCAAGAACTTTTCTCGGATATGCTTCAGTGGATTACTTTGTAATAGTCCCACCACAGTTGCATCTGTTTCTGCTTGAAATTGTGTAAATAGACTATTGTGCTATTCTGGCCCGGTCACTGTGGTTTTAGTTCATTGCTTTGCCTGCTTTTTGAAATATCTTAGGCATTGGTATCATTGAAATTCGGATTTCAGGTAGAATCCCTATAATAATTGATCTATCCTGCTTCTTCCCCCTCCCGAGAGAGAGAGAGAGAGAGTGCGCGCTATTTTTTCCTGATACTGGCACAAAACGTTTTAATGCGACTTTTGTAAATCGCGTTTGTTTTGCTATAAATATTGACTATTTGAGTGTGTCAAATGCCAATTTCAGTTCTTGCATCAGAATGGTTCGCTTGAATTATTTCTTGTTTGCTGTATGTTGCAGACATATGGGGCCATTGAAGTCTATGAGTTATGGTTCCCTTGTTAAAGCCATTTTCAAGTACACTATGGTGCATCAAAATTATGGTAAGGTTCTTTCTCTTGATCTCCCAAATGACCTTCCATCATAACGCATGCAAAAAAATAAACAAAAACAAGAGTCCTAAGTAGGATAAAATAGAAGACTTTTAAATACAGAAGGAAGTAATTAATTCCGTTAATCTATTCTCAGAAACAACTGATGCTCTGGTCGCTGTGCCTTCATGTGGTCAAAAGTTTGAAACAAGTTTTCATTCAGGAATTTCCTATCAGATTAAACTGCTCGTCCGCATTGGCTCATTTAGAGTTTAGATCAAACCTTCCATCCCCCTCCTTTTGGGATCAGGGAAAACTATCATGTTATTCATCTCCATTTCCATCTTTTTACCGTATTTGGCGAGTATAATCTAATGAAAAATGGTGAGTTGTTGCTCTTCATTGATAGGTGGAGGCTGTGGTTGGTTTTATCATGTCGAGCAATGTGCGGTCTAAGTTAATAATTTCTGTATTCCAATAAACGACTTTGGGATCTGCACTTCTTGGTGTCTTAAACCTCACTTTTTATTAGCTTTCTTTTTTCCTTTTATGTCAAAACTTGAAAGAATGCTTTTTTATTGGTTTGTGGGCATATTTTGAATAATAAACATGGGAAACGCAAGTGAGCCTCGGTATAACCTGAATTTATTGTTTGGTCCGAGTAAGAGGGGAAGAGAGAAAAGGGAGGGTTTGGGAGTAGAATTCGGGATATCTTATGATTAGGTGGCGTCTCGGGAACACGATATAACCTGAATTTCATTGTGCTTGATTTCAATTCTTCCCAGGTTCATAAGCAATTTCATCCGCAGTGACGTCATCTTGTGGGACGAGCAGAGTTCGGAAGATGGACCTGACAGACGCTGCTAGTATGGTTTGCATTTTATTGAGAATGTTCTTCTTTGATTGTAGGATCAAAGTTAAAAGGTATCTATTGGCTTGTATGCCCAATTGATTGACCTTTTCGTAAACTCATCCCGTTGTAAACTCATCACGTGATGGAAAATGTTTGTACTCCATTTGCTCTTTTTTTCCTCTTAGGAGTAGGGGGTTGGGAGATGTCTTCGTCCTATGGGGGTTAGTGGGTTAGTTTGAAAAAATGCCACAGCAAAAGTGGGTTAGTTTGAAAAAATGCCACAGCAAAAGTGGATGAAAGCATCAAAGGACTCATGATTACACAATTCTCAAAGGGAAAAGGATCAAATGATGGTGGCAATTTCTTTGTTCTTTCTCTTTTGCAGGAAAATTTCGTGCATAGATGAAAACAATCACAACTTGCACTGGAGTCGGTATCGGAAAGAGTTCTCTAGTGAACAAAGACGGATCGAAAAAAGTTGCAAGCAAGTTTGATCAAAAGGTGCGACAACCTGGCAATGCAAAATCAACTATTGGCTCAGATGCATAAACTTAACCTCTACTGAGGCAAAATTTTGGGTTATTTTCAGGTAAGTATACTGGAATTTTTCATTTTAATTTCTCGTTCGGGTCAGTCCCATGTTTAAATTCCTGTTCGGGTCAGTCCAATGGTAAATTCTCGTTCGGGTCAGTCCCATGTTTAATTTCCTGCTCGGGTCAGTCCTATGTTTAATTTCTCATTCGGGTCAGTCCCATGTTTAAATTCCTGTTCGGGTCAGTCCCATGTTTAAATTCCTGTTCGGGTCAGTCCCATGTTTAATTTCTCGTTCGGGTCAATCCCATGTTTAAATTCTCGTTCGGGTCAGTCCCATGTTTAAAATTTTCGTTCGGATCAGTCCCATGTTTAATTTCCTGCTCGGGTCAGTCTCATGTTTAAATTCTTGTTCGGGTCAGTCCCATGTTTAATTTCCTGCTCGGGTCAGTCCCATGTTTAATTTCCTGTTCGAGTCAGTCCCATGGTAAATTCTCGTTCGGGTCAGTCCCATGTTTAAATTCCTGTTCGGGTCAGTCCCATGGTAAATTCTCGTTCGGGTCAGTCCCATGTTTAATTTCTCGTTCGGGTCAGTCCCATGTTTAAATTCCTGTTCGGGTCAGTCCATGTTTAATTTCTCGTTCGGGTCAGTCCCAATTTTAATTTCCTACTCGGGTCAGTCCCATGTTTAAATTCTTGTTCGGATCAGTCCCATGTTTAATTCTCGTTCGGGTCAGTCCCGTGTTTAATTTCCTGCTCGGGTCAGTCCCATGTTTAAATTCTCGTTCGGGTCAGTCCCATGTTTAAAATTTTCGTTCGGGTCAGTCCCATGTTTAATTTCTCGTTCGGGTCAGTCCCATGTTTAATTTCATGCTCGGGTCAGTCTCATGTTTAAATTCTTGTTCGGATCAGTCCCGTGTTTAAATTTCTTGTTCGGGTCAGTCCCGTGTTTAAATTCTCTTTCGGGTCAGTCCCATATTTAAAATTTCTCGTTTGGGTTAGTCCCATGTTTAAATTTTTGTTTGGGTCAGTCCCGTTTTAAATTTTTTGTTTGGGTCAGTCCATTTTAAAATTTTGGAGTTAGTCCTCATTTCAAAAGCGTCAGTCGTTCGAATAATTTGCATTTGAACTACGTTTGACCTGATTCCCATGGTGGGATACGTAGGCAACTCTACATGAGTTCGGTCACGTGTTTTGTAATTTCATTGTATCTTGTATTCAATAATCTCAGCAAATTGTTCGCCTGTTATTTTAGCTCAAGTGCCGTTAGAAGAGACAGGTAAGTAATTTGGTGTCTACGTCTTTGTCTAGAATTTTTTTGAAATCCTAGACAAATAGGGGCAAGTTGTAGACACCAAAATTTTGTCAAATTTTAATATTTTCTTGATTATTTTCTATTTGATGAGGTATTTATTTTTTTACATTTTAATGCATAATTTTTCATTTGTTTTGCAGGTTTGTTTTAAGAAAAAACAAAACACAAAAACAACAAAAACTAAAAAAAAGAGGAAAATTAAGAAAATAAAAAGAAAAATCATTCTAATCATTTTTTTCCACCAAAATACATTTAACCCATTTCACACTCAATGGCCAGGGACTGGTCTTTTCATTAGTTGAAAAATCATCATTTTGGAAGATTGAGCACACAAGCTCCATTTTTTTGGCTACAAGTCTCTCTCGGCTCTCTCCCAGGGGACTCAACAGAGAGAAGCAAAAAACAAGACCAACACTCCAATTTTTTTTCCTCTCGGCTCACTTGGGCAGCGGAGAGAAACACAAAAAAAAAAAAAAAGAAGCAAGGCACTCTTCCTCTTCCCAACTCCCTCTCGGCTTTTTTCTTTGCTCCCAACAGACAAAGTCACAACAAGAAGCACTTTCCTCTCCCCAACATACTCACAGGCATCAGAAAAACTTCAGCCAAGGCAATTCCACTTTCATTGAGGTATTTTCCAGTTTTTTTAAAAGCATATTAGATACATTTTGATTTTAATTTATCTTGCTTTTGCTGGTTTTTATTGTTGTTGTTGTATTGCTGAAATTTGGGAAATGGCATGAACTAGATTGAGGAAAAGGAAATGGGTTTTGTATATGCATGTTAATTGTTTGAAAAAATGCCAAAAATGGGAAAAACGATTTTTAGGGACTGTTTTGCTTTATTTTAGCCCTTCTATGTTGTTTTCTTGTCCAACTAAGATTATGGTTGTAATGTAGAAGTCATAAGGAGGGTTTTGGCATAATTTTTATGATTTTTGGTGAAGGTTTAAGGGTTTTAAAGGAATAAAAACTGGACTGATTTCTTGACAATTTGGCCACTTTGGGTCATTTTCTGTAAAAACTAAGTCCAAAAATGGAACCTACGCGAAAAATCGAGTCGGGTGTTTATTTTGATAATTTTTTTGTGATCGAAAAAAATTCGCCGGCGACCGGTGGTGGTGGCGCCGGCAGCCGCCATGTCAGCCATGGTTGGCTGTGGCGAGGAGCTTCAGCCGGCCAGGCAAGAAAAAGAAGAACCGGAAGGGTAGAAGAAGAAGAAAAAAAAAGAAGAAAAAGAAAAGAAAGAAGAAAAAGAAAGGAAAGAAACGAAAGAAAATGATTTGGGCTTATGTTTTATCTTCGGTTGGGCCAAGAGTTAGTTTTTGTTGGGTTTTGGAAATGGGTTTCGGTTTATTTTCTTTTGGATTTCTGTTGGGCTAGAAGGTCAGAGCCCATACATTTTTTGGTCGGATTTGAGGGATGAAAAGACGGGCTGGCCTGCTCGTTTCTTTTGGGTTTTGGCTGGGCTTAGGTAGCATCCAGCCCAAATATATAAAGATGTTGGCCCGATGGCCTTTTTCTCCCAAATCAGAAACCGAAATTTGCACCTTAGCCCCTGATCTTTGGAGTAGTTTTACTGTGGCCCAGAACATTTTAAATTCCTTTCACTTAGGTACTTAATTTAATTGCGCTTTGGTCCTTGAATTTTATCTTTCATTTAATTTTGTCCCCTAAACTTTGGAAAAATATAATTTCTATCCCCAAACGTTTTTCAATTTTTGCAATTCAGTCCCTGGTGAATTTTGACCCTCTTTATTATGATTGTTTCTTTTCTTTAATAGTTAATTATGCTACTTTTCAATATACTTAACTTGTAATTTTTAGATTTGCTTAAATTTCTTTACGTCTGACATACTAGTGTGAATTTAGTACTTTTATTATTATTATTTTTCAATTAAATTGGTGCCGTGATTCTTTTGTTCATTGTGAGTATAAATAGGACAATTTGACTCCATTTAGTCACCACTTCAAACGGGAGGTACCCCTATTTTTATTATTTCAATGTCGATTACGTGCTCTTATGTGCTCCTGTGTGCTCCTATGTGTTTATATATTTTTATATGCTTTATTTATTGCATTTAAATGTTCATTTAAATTTTCTTATATTATATTTGTTTAGTTAATTTTTATAATTATTCGAGAGGCATTTAAATACCTCAAAAAATGTAATAATTATTATAACTAATTTCATTTTATCATATCTTTCTCATTTTAGATTGTAGTTAGATTCCCCGATGTAATAGATAGGTTGCGTGTTTATGCGGCTTATGTGTTATGTGCCTTACCCGCTTTCATTAGGATTTGTTGCATCTAGATATTATGCTTATGTGTTACGTGCTACGTGTTCTTATGTGTTTATTTGTTTTAATTTATGCTTTATTTGTTTCACTATGTATTGTTAATGCATGACGTCACCACACTAGTCCAACGCTAGTCGTGGCTTCTCCCTCCACTTACTTGCTAGTCCAACGCTAGTAAGGATTTTTAGAAATGGGCTAGTCCAACGCTAGACCCTTTAGGTCGTCTTGCCCTAGATTCATCTTTGTGTGATAATTCACTACATTTTCATGCATATTTTCATTTTAGAATTTTT